GTTGTTGAGGAGGCTACTAAATTGGAGGAGTCGGCGACGCGGACGGACAAGGGGGTTGATGGTTTGAGGCGGGAGCAGGGATTGGAGTCTTCTAGGTTGGACCAGGGGCTCTTGTACAAGACTACCCCGAAACGGAAGTCGTGGGTTCCGTGGGGGAAGAAGGACGGGTCTGCCGGCGAGGAGGACACGGGACTGTTGGTGGTTGAAGACCAGCTCGTCGGGACTCTCGCGCTGACGAGGTATGCCCACGACACGGCCTTGTCGTCGACGGAGTGGGCGGAACAGGGACGTGACCATTGGAGGAAGCTGGTCGGGCGCCTGGATAAGCTGTTTGAGTTGAAGGAGGGCGCTACACTTGACGACCTTGAAGCCCAGCTCACGAAGTTGCTGGAATTCCTCCAGAATCCGGCTTACACATGAAGAGGCGGGTGTTTTAGATGTTAGATAGATGATGTAATTGTAAGTGTTGGTTTTAAGGATTCCCAATGTACCAACACGCCTAGTTACTGCACAACGTTAGCACGGTGACAAAGTTTGCGTGTATGCCAGTCGTAAGGGAACTGCATGGGAATGCCCTGCCGTAGGCCAAGCTCCTCCGCCTCGGCCCGCCCGAGCACATCGTCCGCGGCCGCGCCGCCGCCACGCCGCTGCCCTTGGTGGCGCTCCGCCACCGGCCCCACCTCTGCGACCTCGTCGCCGTTCCGTTCCCATTCCCTGTGGGGGGCCGGGGCTGGAGCCGGGGGAGCTGGAGTGGGAGTGCGAGGAATGTGTTTCCCAGGCGCTGAGAACGTCGTGTCCCGGACCTTTCAATTTGCTTGTCAGATCTTATTCCTCGCCCTTGTTTTTGTCAATAGAGGTACTGTTGTTACATCCATAGGTAATATTGCAGTAAATATTAATAAGTAGTCACTTACAAGCCATCTCAATAAAATAAGTTGATGCTTATAGGTAATATTAAGAAAAGGATTTATTTGGAAATAGTATTAATAAAAGGGTCACTTACAGGCAATATTAATAAAAAGAATTACTTACAGATGGTCTGCATGATGGACTCGGCTGACATCATAAAGTCGCCTAGCGTACAGCATTACGGGCTGAACCCGTATTGGTAACCGGCAGCGTTGATAACTGGACCAGCATTACAGACTCGGCCCGTGTCAAAAACCCAACCGGCGTTACGGACCCAATCAGCATCATGGGCCGGTACAATTACAGCGTTGGATACGCGACCAGGCCGACGTCATCAACCAAGATCAAACGCCACTTATAACACCAAGGGAGCTCAAACCTACCACGCATCGCCCGGGGCCCACAGGCAATATCATGGCAAGAGAGAGCGAACCGCGGTGCTACAAACGCAGCAGTCTGATCCCAGGCGCCTCAAGCCAGGACCAGCAGGCCAGCCGCCTCCCCCCCCCTCCCCGCTCAACTCACACCGCCGACCCCACCTTCTCCTCGGGTCCACACACCGCCCGGGCCCAAGGCAAGTAAGTGGTGTGCAAAGGAAAAGATGGATTTCGATGGCGTGATCGGGACGGAATGCGATTGGTCGACTTTCCCCATGTATGTGCCCGACTCGAGAATTAAATCATGCACAAGCAAAGCCACCCTGCCGCCTTCTCACCCCACGCACAGCATGTATGCGTGATGGCGAAAATGACGGACAGGATGGCACATGAAGATGAAAAAAGAAAGAGAAAACCGCGACTACTGAGAAAAAAACAAGACTGATCGGAGACGCAATCGTCATTGCCAAGCCCCGACCCAGAGTCACCGACTTGACCCCACGCCACAACTTGACGCTAATGCCAGCCATTCGAAAGCGCTCTGGCCGTCCATCTAACACACAGCACACGCCATGCACATGCATCTCGCCCGCTACCCTGGGCCCCGGCAGCGAGGAAATTGCACGTGGCATGGATGGAACTGGGGTAGATGGATGGATGGCTATCAGAGGCTGGATGCGTTCTGCTTGCTTGCTTGGCTGGCTTCTTTCTTCTTTTTTTTCTTTTTTTTTTTCTTTCTTTTTTAGTGTCTTCTTGTGCTTACCTATTCCGAGAGATCTGCGTATGAAGCGGAAGAGATGCCATGGCAGGCTGGTGGTGTGTTGGAAGCCACGATCTGATGCTTGGAGGTCCGGCAGCGTGTTGTTGCCAGGTGTGATGGTCTGGATAGAGGCGGGTGTTAAGTCGATTCGACGGCAGATGGTCTGAGCGAAAAGGATTTCCTCGGAAATGGTCTTGTCCTGGACAGCGGGTTTGGTTCGAGTGGACAGGAAATGATTCTGTGGTAATGATGTCGTGCCGATGATCTTGTGCCGAATGATGTCGTGCCGAATTACCTCGTGCCGAATGCCCTTGTGGGCAACGAGTTTAGTCAGAGTCGATACCGAATGAATTGATGCCAAATGGGTTTCCGGCGAGTCTACCCCGGCAACCTGGCCGTGACCGTGCTTTCGGGATCGACCGTCCATCAAATGGATTTCGGCGGAGAGATCCCGCGGCACAAGATCGCCGAGCCAAAAACGAGTGGCCCGTCGAATGGACTCGACAACGAACGAGCGGTTGCGGAAAGCAGAAGAGATCGAGGAGGGCAGGCACCGCGCCGAGTAGGAAGACTGGGCCAATAAGGTATGATCTCAAGTCCGCGCCGGACACTAACCGGCTACCCCCCCCCTCTAACCGGTTACCTTCCAAATTGAGTAACAAGGGACTGACGCTCATGAAATTGAAAATGCCTCTCTTTAAGGGCGTGATCTTTGGCATCTTTAGTGATAATTGAACCGTCAAACGTTTGATATTTGCCTTCATAATCGCTTCAATCTATATGATGCGATTGTTTGGACCTGTTTTAAGCTTCACTTTCTGGGGCTGTAAATGCGCAGCCACTGCCCACAGCGCTTTATTTCGCGTTCTGAAGCTTCAGTCCAAACGTTTTCCCAATCAAAGCTTTTTCTACATTTTCTCTTTTTAAGTAAAAACTTCTCCTTCCCAATGTCAGCTAGAAATTCTCATCTATATTATTGAACTTAAACTAGTTATTCTACTTGATCTATTTATCTAACTTGAGCATCAGCGACAGCCCTATTCTAAAATATTAGTTTACACGCGTTGCACGATAACATGAGAGCACGAGCTCAAACTTGCCGCACCGCCATGCAATGAAGAGGGTGAGCGGTGCGGCGGGAAAGAAGTAAGTTAAAGCACCCCCCTTCCGGCCACCCCCACCTTCCGGCCACCCAAAAATCCGACTTACACCACCACTACTACTTTATTCAACCTGACTTTCTACCTTCCTTGATTTTACTACAATACAACTGCCTGACTTACTAGGTAATTCAGGCTTGCTGAATTCATCTAGACTATCCTCAATATAACCAGCCTCTAATTAAGCCTTCTAGATTGCCTCAATGTTGGCAAACTTTGAATTTAGGCTTAATTTAACCTTCTTCTTCTTCCTAAGCTATGCAGCTTCAAGCTAGGCCTTTAGTGATTCAACCTTCTGTAAAGAAGTAGCTAACTAAATGTCCTTTTTGTCAAATGCCTTGTAGATCTTCTAGAATAGTAGTTGTTATGTAAAAGTAGGTTGCTTTAGGTAGCTAAATTAATATAGTTAATCTCAAAGCTTTATAGCCTTTTTAAGAGTTGACTATACTACTATAGCTATATTTAAATTCTATTGAGAGATAGGTTTACTATTAATTGCATGCTAAGAAGTTGAATTTTCTAGATTTTAAGCCTTTTTGTTAGAGTTTTCTAGCAAAAGTAGGCTAAGTAAAGGTTTGGTTATAGAGACTAGCTATAACCTTATAGCTTTCTACCTACTTTTGATATTCTAACTAGTTAAAGCAGTCTTGTAGGCTTTTTGGTAGCAGGCTAGGAAATTCTACTTTCCTACTACTATAAAATCTACCTACTAAGCAAGAAAGCTAAGCTTTTTCTAGTAAGCTGTTTTGAAAGGTCTAAATACTGAAAGATCTAGTGGTTGCATAACATGAAAGATATATAAAGGTAAGAAAAGTAGGTAAATCTTATGCTAAAAGCAAAGCTATATAAACTTGGTTGTTTTGTAATTGCTATAGCTATCTAAGACTAGTAACTGGTATTTAGAAGAGTCTATTGGCTAGGTTTTTGAAATAAAGACCTTTTAGAGCTACTTAATAGCAGTATTATTGGAAATCTAGCTATTTTTAAAAAAGGAGAACTTTTATATAGCATAAAAAGCTAGTTTAAATAGAAACCATTAGGCTTAAAGCGATTTTCCTTTGAATCTAACTAGAGGATCTAAGATAGTACTAGTTGCTAAGATATACTTTAGGAAAGTTGTCTAAGTGTGTAACCTAGGCTTTTTCTTTTAAATTGCTTTTTTTTTAAAGCCTCTTAAGACTAATCTATTAGATTCCTAGCCTTCTATAATCTTAAATTTGTCTATATTATACTAGTTGTATAGCTTGATAGCTTAGATAGCTAGAATCTTTAGATATTGAAACTAATGTCTGATTATATTAGTTGTAGCTTTATTAACACGTTTGGAATCGATAGATTTGCTTTCCTAGGTCCTAACAGCTAGATTCCTATGTAAAAAGGCCTTAACCTAACACTTTCCAAGTGGCTAAGAGTCTCCTTTAGCTTGCAAGACTTGCTTTGCAAATTCTTTCAGCTAAAAGTAGGAAGGTGGAAGTCCTAGGGCAGCCTAGGTAAAAATCTATTGAGCTAGGTGGCTTTTCTGAAGTGGTGAGAGCCTTTGGTAATTTGAAAATGCATCTTTCTAAGGTGTGGTACCATTGAAGCAGTCTTGAAGAGTAGTCTTTAAAACCCCCTATTCTAGAAAAGCCTTGCATAGACTTTGACTATTTGCAATAGCCTGCAAGGCCTAATTGACGTCATCTTTGGTATATAGCTTTATTGTCAACTAATCAAGATAATTGCAAAAGGTAAGCTTAATTAGGCTTAATTTGATCAAGGAATAGAAGTTTGTTTGGTAATGGTTGAAATGGCAGTGTGGAATTTTTGGGTAGCTGGAAGGTAGGGGTGGCTGGAAGGTAGGGGTGGCTGGAAGGGGGGTGCTTTAACTTATGGACGGGAAAAAAGAAAAAAAGAAAAAAAAAAAAACACCTGGAGAGAGAATGCGAGGAGCAGTGCGACGAAAGGAATAAAAAGAAAAGAAAAATACAGATGAGGATTGTGGCTTTGGCACCAGTTGCCTCTCCAAAGGAGAGCAATGGTAAAACTTTTCTTTTTCCTAGCCCCGTCTCGCTTCCACCGAGAGACCACACCTGCTTAGGTCTTCTTCTTGCCCTTGGGCATGCGCACGAGCCAGTACAACGCCAGCGACGCCGCAATATTGAACACGATGTACACCATGCCCAACCCAAAGTCGCGCCACCTATTATCGTAGCTGGAGCTGATGCTCGTTAGGAAGACGTTCGTGTCTGCGACCGGGCAGTAGGCGCAGTCCGACACGGCACCGGAGTTCCGGATATACCCGCCGGCGGCAGCCACATACCCCTCCAGATACTGGCCGCACGTCTGGCCGTCGGGGGGGTTGAAGACGACGTATTCGTTGTCCGAGCACGTGACCTTGGTGTTGGCCAGGCCGGTGGACAACATGGCCGACACCAGGTAGGTGAAGGGCGACACGCGGTACATGAAGATCCAAAACCCAGGCATGGCATCGGGACTCGCCAGGACGCCGCAGAATATCAGACACATCATGAACAGCACGTTGGCCAGGTTCCCGCCCACCTCGGCCGTGTCTGCGATGGCAATACAGGCGTGCGCAAACGTGCAGGTGAAGACAAGGAACTGCCAGAAGAGGAGCCACATGAGGGCACCGCGCTCGGCTGCCTGGCCTGCCGCCTCGGCATTCTTGTTTAGGCCGACAGGGTAGTAGACGCAGACGAACATGAAGACTGACATGAGCGAGTTCCAGGGGATCTCGACCAGGACCTGCGACAGCATGAAGACCTTCCAGCTGTATGTCTTGGACGGGCGTTCGCGGACCTCGTAGAGGGACCGCTGGGTGACAAAATGCGGCATCTGCTGCTGCACAAGCTGACCAAAGATGGTCAGGATATTAAAGATGGCAAACATCTGGTTCTGCAGGCCCTGTATGGACAGGGGGGCGTTTAGGAATACCAGGCCGATGAAGAGGGCAACAGAGCAGCAGAGGATGAACTTGGAGTAGATATACGACGGCGTCCGCCAGTACTGCTGGAACACGCGGCGCGTGACAATCAGCAGCTGGTCCCACAGCGGAGCGGCGAATTCGCGGCGGGCGGCCCCATCACTCTCCGGCGTGGGCTTCTTCTGCTCCTGGGCGGCCACTCCTGCCCCCCCGGGCCCTCCTCCCCCCTCTGCCTTGAGGCGCCGAAGCTCCTCCTGAACGGCCCGATATTCGGGACTGTCGCGCCACGTCTGATGCCAATCGACGTCTGTGGCCGAGCTGGGAGCCGCGCCGACGGCCTCGAGCATCCATTCCGCGGGATTTGCCCCCGGCGGGCAGGGCGGGGCGCCATTCCGCTCAAAGTACTCGGTGAGAGTGCTCGAGTTGCGGCCGATCTCGCCAAAGTAGACGGTTCTCCCGCCCTTGGCAAGGAAGAGCAGCTGATCGAATCGCTGGAATAGGATCGCCGAGGGCTGGTGGATCGTACAGAGGATGGATTGGCCGGCCTTGGACAGTTTCTCGAGGAGGTCCAGGATGGCCCACGAGGTCTGCGAGTCGAGGCCGGACGTGGGCTCGTCGACGAAGAGGAGAAGCGGGGGCTTCGCTGCCAGCTCGACGCCGATGGTCAGGCGTTTGCGCTGCTCGACATTGAGGCCCTCGCCAAGCACGCCCACCACAGCGTCGGCATACTCGCGCATGTCCAGCATCTTGATGACCTCGTCGACGTATGCGAGCTTCTTGGCCCTGGGGACGCCGGCGGGTTGGCGGAGCAGGGCACTAAACTCCAGGGCCTCGCGGACGGTGCTGGTTTCCAGGTGGAGGTCTTGCTGCTGGACGTAGCCAGTCCTGCGCTGGAAGGACTGGTCTCGCACCTTGCCGTCGACCAGCATCTCTCCGGTGATCACGCCCATGGACACGCGGTCGGCGAGGCAGTCGAGTAGCGTGGTCTTGCCAGCCCCCGACACGCCCATGAGGGCCGTGAGGGTGCCGGGCTTGACCCAGCCGTCGACTTGGTCGAGGATGCGCCTCGGCTCGCCCTTGATCTTGATGTCGTAGCAGACGTCCTTCCAGTGGAAGACGCTGGTCGAGGAGTCGATGGCGCCGGCGCCCTCGCCCTCGCTGCCGGACGTCTCGCCGCTCCCGTTCTTCGCCACGGGTAAGGGGCCTGACAGGGACGCCTCAACGTCGCCCTCGCCCTTGGCGGTTGGGGCGGAGGGGGTCACGAAGCCGCGCCGGAAGACGAGGATCTCCCCTTTGGACTTCTTGGCCGAGATGTACTCTGTGGCGACGAGATAGACCAGGTGGAAGAAGAGGGCAAACCCAATGAGGATGCCGACGTTCCGCCACTTGTGGCCGTGGTAGTACTTATACAGCGAGTTGATGTAGGCGTCTCCGTTCACGGTGGCCCGGCCGGGCACGGCGCCGACGGCGGAACAAGCGCGGTGGTCTGCCGTGGCGTTCTGGTAGCCGTCGACGGTGCCGCTGGGCACAAAGGAGACACAGGTGAACTCGCGGTTGTGGTACTCGTTGATCATGAGGGCTTCGAAGCCGTAGGCGACAGGGTCGAGGTAGTTGATCCAGCGACACCAACCGAGCATGTAGTCGACGGGGATGACAAATCCGGTGAATATAACCAGGGCGAGGATCAACAACGACGCCGGGACCATGGCCTGGGAGAGGCTACGCGATAGTGAGGCGCTGGGAACAAGAACGACCCAAGTCAGCAATGCCATCCCGTCTAGCATAGGGGGGGGGGGGATCCCACCAAGGTAGGTAGGTAGGTAGGTAGGTAGGCGCAAAGGTAGGTGGGTGGGTGCAAAGGTAGGTTTGCGGGTGCAAAGGTAGGTTTGCGGGTGCAAAGGTAGGTTTGCGGGTGCAAAGGTAGGTTTCTGGCTTACATTGATCTGAAGATGCCTGACATGGCTAGCACCATGAGAAACGAGGTGAAGAGGAAGAAGAAGAAGGCGCCGGGCTCTCGGTTGAGGTTTGTCATGAAATAGATGATCAGGTTGTAGCAGACTGCGTTGGCGACTTTGTAGGGCATATCTACCAGGATGGACGAGAAGGACTCGGCAGAAGGGTGGTAGAATGCATAGCGGGCGTGCTTCTCTACAATCGGCCGCTGCGCGTACTGGGTCAGGATCTCGAGGGCGCTGGAGAAGGCGTTGGACAAGATGGCGATGAAGAGGACGGCGCCGCGGCTGTAGAAGCTGGCGGTAGTCGGCTGCAGGTCGTAGAACAGGGACGAGATGATCAGGGCCATTATCGAGTTGGCAATGAGGGCGAACAGCGTCATGGCGGGGTCTCCGAGGAGCCGCCTCCACCCGCGCCACAGGCAGAGTCTGACCTGCTGGCTGTACGTGAGGATGAACGGCGACGCGAGCCGCTGGCCCTTGGACTGGACTGACTTCTTCTGGGCGCGGAAGGCGGCGGCCTCAGGCCCGTCCAGCGCGTGCGCAGCCGCGTATCGCTCGATCTGGGCCCGCAGCTCCGCATACTCCCCGCTCTGCCTCCAGCGGGCGGCGAATTCGTCGGGGGTCCGGGGCACGCGGTCCTCCCACCCGGCGCGCACCACGCGCTCCGAGGGGGCAGTCATGGATGTCAGGAAGTCAGGCGTGGTCTGGCGCGCCGGGCATTCGAAGCCGAGGGCGACGAAGTAGTCGCGGGCTTTGTCGGCGCGGCCGAAGAAGACCTGGCGGCCCTCATAGATCAGAAGCACCTTGTCGAACAGGTCGTAGGCAGACTGGGGCGCCTGGTAGATGGACACGGCGCAGGTCTGGCCAAAGAGGTCCGACTGCAGCCTCAGGGTCTTGCAAAACTCGACGGCGTTGGCCGAGTCAAGCCCGCGCGTCGAGTTGTCCCAGCACTGCAGCGGCGCGCTGGACAGCGTGGCCTCGGCGATGGTCACGCGCTTGCGCTCGCCGCCGGAGACGCCGCGCACATACTCGTTGCCGACGCGGGTGTTGACCGTGTGGCTGATGCCATACATAGCCATGACCACGTCGCGGAAGTGGTCGCAGTACTCGGCGGAGCCGATGCCTGGGGGCAGGGCCCGGGGGCGCCTCGCGCGCGACGCGAAGGTGAGGGTGTCCCCCACGGAGAGCATGGGGAAGTGGACGTCCACCTCGGCCGTGTAGATGGCGTCGCCCTTGTGGTGCGCGTGCAGCTCGTGCCCCGTGAGGCCCTGGTAGTTGAAGTAAGCCCGGTCGTCGACGTACATGCCGTTCGTCTCGCCGGCCACCGTCTTGAGGAAGGTCGAGCAGCCCGACCCGGGCGGGCCAAGCACCACGAGCATCTCCCCGGACTCGACCACCCCGTCGAAGTCCCGCAGGATGTCTATCCGCCGCTGGCCCCCGGACTTGGAGCCGAGCTTGCGGGGCAGGCTGGCGATCTCCATCCATATGTTGCCCACGTCCTTCTGGTAGTCCGTCTCGGTGCCGTAGCCGAACACGCCCAGGTCCCGGAAGCAGATGCCCGCCCTGCGGAACCCGGCGCCGTGCTCGTTGGTCACGTTGGCCAGGGCCTTGGCCCAGGCCCGGGCGTTGAACTTCTCGCCGCGGGGGTTGAGCGGCGAGCCTGGGTCGTCGCTCCCGAACAGCGTCCAGGGGTTCCCGTGAGGGTCGACCGTCGAGCGTTGGGTGTATTGCCGCGCTAGGTCCTGCACGACGGAGTGTCGTCGCGCCATTTCGGTCCCGCTCCCCTCGTCTCCGTTGTCGTCGTCATCGTCGTCTTCGCTTGACCCGGGCCTTCCGCCGGCGACGTCGACCACAGACGCTGGTGACCCCCCTTCGGGTTCGTTAACGAAGGTCTGCTGACTTCCGTTGGGAGAGCGCCTGGCGGCTCCTCGCGTTGCCCCATCGTCCTGGGAGGCCGAGGACATGACGAACAGTCAAAAAGTCAGAGAGGCGCGTGACCCCTCGCGTGGTTCTGGAAGGTCTCGTGGTCAGCTTCGACGTATTTTTGTTACTCTCTCTCTCTCTCTCTCTCTAAATCTGGACTTACCGATCTGTCACAACTCTGTCAGCGTTCTTGGGTGACCTCACTCACGTCTCGGACCTGGCTATGGGTACGCGAAATCGTGTGGTTGGCATAAAGATGTAGTCAACCAGGGGTATCAACATGGGTTATAATGGGATATGATGGGATATAAATAACTAATCCACAAAGAGAAATAATCCCCCAGTCTAGATGATTCGATATCTGCGTAGGGCTGGCACTATCCACGACTCCGGTAGGCACGTATTCGGATTCGGGCCCAAGCACTGTTGTACGCGCCATGTGCCTTTCCGATTCAAGCGCAACGCGCCACTCTGTGGGTAAGTGCCAAGCGGCCGGGGTAATTGACTGCTTCGGGTTGTCCTCGGACCCCGGTTGGGACCAGCATCGTGCGTCCCCTTTCCGTGATTGTCTGCTTCGGGTTGTCCAAGGACTCCGCGGCGGGATAACCCATCGCGTTGCATATAGGACATGGAAGACACTAGGTTGGAGACTGTCTTACCCTCGGAGAGATAACATCGGCTTCATCGCCATCCGAGATGCATATGTAGTAGCCCTGGGCCGTACTGCTGGGACTGGCCTGGGCCGGCTTGGGCCGGCTTGGACCCGGATATCACGTTGGTGGGAACCGGGCTAGGCCAACCAAAGTTCGTCGATAGAGAGACGAGCAAGGGTTGGCTTCCATTCTCGGATTGGCGGTGCATAACGTCGCCAAGAGAGGGAGAATAACTGCCGACGCACTTTGTGCACAGAAAAAAAAAACGGGGCCGGATGGGCGGTTTTGTCGCGTCTCTTGTGTGACCACGCTAAACTCATTCGGCAGATCCACTTAGACCCGGTAGACGACACGAGTAGCGGACACTTGGCTGCCTGATTACAAACCCGCAGGGGGAGATACGGACTCTAGCGGACTCTAACATCTCGCCGCGCCCCAGTCCGACCCGCAAATACTGACCGAATACCCAGGCATCCCCCCCTTCTTTTTTATATCCCTCCTCCGTCCCGTCTCGACTCCAGCCCAGCTTACATTCTCGCAGCAAATTCTCGCTCGGCTCGGATCGCTCGCCTCAAAATCGTCGCCATCCCCCGTCGACCTCCTTTCTTTTTCCTCTTCTCGAATTATGCATCACCCCCGGCTACACCTCGCGCGAGCGGTTTCATCGACTATTCGCATTGTTACGATGATTTGGCTCTGTAGTATCGCCGTCTAGTCGCCCGACCAAACTGGCCCGGAGGTACCATATCATTCTACGGCGTCCACGGATTCCATACCCGTGCAATCGATAACCCGCATACCTTTTTGTTTCTGCTTCATTTCCCCAGTCAGGCATGCCCGCCTATGCCGCGCTTCTCGATCTATCGCCCTCGGCTCCCCCCGTCAGAGTTACCAGTGGGCGTCCTCCCCCCGCCATCAGGGAATTGATGCCGAGCTGAGTTCTTGGTCTCGAGGTCATTCCGACAACTTCCCCGCGCCAAAGCTTCCCCCCCCTGGCGGCTCGGCAACCCTAACCCACGAACATCCGTCCATAGGCTGATATCCTCCAATCTCACGGGGACACGGCACAGCTCGTCTTCGCCTCCTACCACCATCCCGGCCGTGGCCTATTCCGAGACATGTTCTGGCGGTCATGACGGATCTGCCATTGAAGATTCCTCCTCCTTGCTCTGCTCGTCTACCTACCCCCGATCTACTCGTGCTATGTTCTTCCAACCACAGGCTATCGGCCGCGCGACGACACGTCTCCAGCGGAAGTCGACGTCCGGCTCTGCGGCATGTCCTCGACCGGGATTGAATCCTAGCGGGTCTCATGCGCGCTACGTATTCCACGAAGGGCTGTCCTCGTACGTTCTTGGGGTTCTAAGGCGTTGTATGAGGTTTTTCCCAGAGCCGGGCTTGCTACGTGCGGCCTGATCGCGGCCCCGGAGAGTGGGAATGGCACGCGGTCTGTTTCCCTTCCCTTCCAGATTCCTTAGGCAGTCCGGCTGCCGCTAGCCCGGCCCGTGGAAAATCCTCTTCTCCGGGTAAATATCCGACATGGTTTAAAACCCTATCTTGTAGGTCGATCTCCCATCCAGACCGCCGGGGGTCGCAGACTTGGGTATGATCTTCGTTACGGCGTCAGCCGAGGACCATGCCACCCTTCTCGGTCTGAGGGCTCTATGGAATACTTTGACTACAAGGACTTATCCGTAATTGTAGATAAGGTCTTGCGCACCGGCCAAGGCGAAGGGCGTCGCGTCCTCCACCGTCTTCCACGTCGTTGGCCTAGATACTGGGGTATGGGTTTGGTTCCTTTATGTGCGGGAAGATAAAACACAAAGCACAAAAATAGATGGCCTTAAAAATAGATGGCTTCGAGGTTGGGTTTCAATTGACTTACATGGCTCGCACATTCGAGTCTCTTCCGTTTTTTCCGCTTCCCGTGTCAGACCCCGTATACTTGGCATGTGCTCCATCTTGCAAGTTTGGTGTCCGTGCCGAAAATTCGCCGGACGTCCGTGTCCGCAATGAGTGGGCCTCCGGCAGTTTCAGGAGGTTTATTACTAGACTGCCCGCTTTCAATTGCACGACGACATCTCCAGCAAAATCCCACAGACACGTCTCTATAGCATACGATGGTCAGAGTCAATTATTGTGGTACTGGAGATGCAGAAATGCAGGTTTACTCGCCGTCATGGCTGCAGGGTGGGGGAATGGCGGAGTCAGGTACCGCATTGCATGCTGGACTGGGCGGGGAAATCGGTACCTCGCCCCATGTAGGTACTTGTGGGGCGCTCGCGAAAATTGGTACGTGCACCAACTGCCAGTCCTGTGCACTGCAAATTGGCGGCCGGGAAGACCAATCCACCACCAGAGGCAAGCTGGCGATAGCTTCAAACAGGAATTCTGCGGATAAAATTGTAGTTTTGGTGTCGCATCAATGAGGCGGTCATATCCATCGGGGACACTTTTTGGCGTAGAACCGGCTACCATTGGCATGATTCGATTGCGCCGTCTATTTAAGTGGACATTGCCAAGTTTTGTGGCGGTGCGCCAATTGGTACCGCTCGGAATCGGATTGTTTTCATGCTTGGGCAATGTATACTAGACTTGGGAATGGGGGCATGGGGCGTGCAGAATGCCACCGGTGAAATGGGTGTGCAGAATGCTACCACAGAATGCCACCAGTACAGAATGCCACCAGTTTTCTGGTGGCATTTTGCACGACTGGTGGCATTCTGCACGGGCACGGACCCTCCCCTCCTGTACACTAGGCGCCCCCCCTACACGACACACACCCCCCACACCATCTACGGGTGTGCCCCCCAAATAACCCATCTGAAACCAGCAGCTACCTATGCAATGCAAGAAACCCTGTCGCCTACACGTGTAGAGCAGGCGCGATGGCGCTTCCGAGTAACTCAAAATAGAGCCCAATCATGGGCATGATTTCGCGGACCAGTCTCGGTGCACCATCTTGTTCCTGTTCCGCTGGCAGCTCGGGGGCCCACCTTTCCAGCCACAACCACCCCCCACCCCCAAAAACTCCAAATTCCGAGCGCCCGCCTGTGAAACCCGCCCTCAAGACACCTTCAAACCGCGTTTCGACCGCAACATCACATACATTTCCGGTCTACCGATTACATTTTTGGTGTCGCACCGCCGAGACGGACATTTCCTTCCCGAACAGTTTTGCCCCTTGGAATCTGACAAGAGTAGTATCAATCAATTATCCTGACTCAGACGGTTGGACTGGCGGATTCTGAATGTGCTGCATCCATCGGGTGTCGAGGAATTCCGGTTGTTTTGGGTTGTTTTGTGAGATGTTCGGACATTGGGTGTGGCCTGTGCGGGGCGGTCTTGCGCCGTGTCTCCCGCCACATGCTGCGGAGGGACTGTGCTCCCCACCGGAGTTGTTCCGAGTCCGCCTCCAACGCCGCCAATTAGACTTTGATTGATGCAAGATGTAATCCGTAGTTTTTTTTTTTTTTTTTTTTTAGTTTTTTTTTTTTTAGTTTTTTTTTGGGTGGGGGGGTTTTCTTGGTGCGGTACATGGGAAAACTGCCGCTCAAAACAGCGGCCACCGCCTGCCAAATTCGGTGGCAAATTTCCCTCCACCTTACACTTGGGGTGTAAAGTTGGTGACGGGAAATCCGCCGCGGGTTTAGTGGCACTCCCGCTTACGGTATAGCGCCTCGCTTGCGACCCTTCACTGCCTTTGGGGGTCATCTATGAAGTACCTTTTTCTCTCTCTCTTCTCCATTAGGCGCTCTCTACCAGGAGTTGATTTTAGCGCTGCTTCCACTGTCTTGGAACGCGCTGGAGTCGTTCCGAGTCCGCCTCCAACGCCGCCGGTGGTATAATCAATTGGACGTTGATTGATGGCCTGGGTTTGATGAGTACGGAGTACGTCTCGACACATTTGATCCTGTTGCGGTCTGCTGGTGCGATTGTTTGCGCTTTCTGGTCTGGCCAAAATGGACATTGACGCCAGGTGGCCTGTGCGCTGCTGGGCAGGTACCAGAAACGAGAACAGCGCGGCGTGGCACCACGGAAACGCATTCGAACCGGGCCAATTTGGTGCTGGTGCGTTGCTATGGGTCAGGTGATCATGTGGCGGGTTGCTGGGGAATTGCGTTCTCTCCTGTTCTACTCAAAATTCGGTTTCTCGGATGGCGGAAGGTGGGTCTCATCCGGCCCCGTACCTAAAACGGGAAAGACGCTTTGGTGAGACGCAGGCCAGGGCCCGAAATGGTTCAACTCGGTGTCCCCGGATAGCGCTGAATGCCTGGAATCAACTGGCCCAAAATTGGTCCTGATTGACGTACGTGGCTGTTGGGAAATGGCGCCGTTTGCTCAAATGGACCGAGGTTCCCGGATGGCCCGTGCCAGGCGGGTCTCATCCGGCGCCGCCTTTGACCAAAAGAAGGAAAGACACTTTGGTGAGACTCGGGCCCGTGGTCAAAACGGGTTAATTTAGTATCCCTAGATACCGCTGAATGCCTGGAACAAACGTGCCTAAAATTGGCCCTGATTGGGGGGTATATGGTTGTTGGGAAATCGCGCCGTTTCCCCTTTTGGGTCAAATGTACCGAGGTTCCAGTGGTCTGTGCGCAGCGGGACTCTGGCCAAGCAACGCCGGACCGAAGTTTTTGTCCAATCGCTGAGCATCCATCTCTGTAGGCCGGAGCAGCGAGGCGCTGGGGTATGTCTCCCAACGGGATCTCTTCACGTGACTGATGTGCGGCTGATCTGATGGAAGTAAAACTGGCAGGATAGTGCTGCCTCAGGCATAAAGCCTCTCGAGCCGAACCCTTGTCACGTTGGTCGGACCTTCTAGACCATGGTTACGGAGTAATCCCTCTGGTATCGCCGATCATTTTGCCATGCATAGGTGTTGGATCAGATAGAACTGTCGAATATGGGCAATTGCTGTGTAATCCAAGCTGGACCCGAGGTGGGTGTACAATGTTACCCCAGTCTGACTATTATGGCAACTCTAACCGGGGGGCGAAAACAGGTCGCATCTTTGAACTCACCCGGCCGAGGTGGCGCTCACTGCGCCTCACCCCCTAGTCAAGTTAAAGCAGCGAGCTGCTCAAGTTTTACGACTAATACAGACTTGGTCAGAAAAAAGGTGTCGGGGGTGACTATTTAGGTAGTCGGCCACGACACATTTTCGTCGCGCGTCCCAAGTTGGTTAGTCAGCTTTGCTGCTTTTAATCAGGCTCGCTTCACCCCCGGCTCACCACGGCTCACCACAGACCTAGAAAGTCGCTTTGGTGAGGTTTAGGTCTGCGGCTGAAGTCGGCCAATTTGGTATCTCTGGATAACTCCGAATGCCTGGAACAAACCGGTCCAAAATTGGCTCTCATTGCGGTACTTGGTTGCTGGGAATTGCGTTCTGTCAAAATCCGGTTTCCTGGATGGCCCATGCAGGGTGGGTCATCCGGCGCCGCATTTGACCCAAAACCGGAAAGAAGCTTTCCTTAAGTGTCAGGACCAGCACAGAACTGGTGCAATTTGGTATTCTAAAATAGCCCTGAATGTCTGAAATAAATTGGACTAGTTTTGGCTCTTATTACGGTACTTGGTTGCTGGAAAATGGGGCTTTCCCCGTCAATCGCGCCGAGGTTCTGGTAGCCTGTGCGCAGCAGGCTCCCTCCAAGAAAGAAGAAGCTTTCGCGGGTGTCAGGACCAGCACAGAAATGGTGCAATTTGGTATTCCCAGATAGCGCCCACTGGGTGAAATAAACTATACTAGAATTGGCTCTCGCTACAGTACTTGGTCGCTGGGAAATGAGGCTCTTTCCCATTTTTGGGTCAATTGCACCGAGGTTCTGGTGGCCTCTCTTCGTAGTGGGTCTCCGCCCCGGCGACGCATTTGGCCCAAAACAGAGAAATGCTTTTGTGACTGTTAGGAGCGGCATGGACCTGGTGCAATTTGATATCATTGGATACCCTTCGATTGGGTGAGCTGATTATCCCGAAATTGGCCGTCTTTAAAGTCGTTGGTTGCTGAGAAACCTAGGTTCTTGGGCTTGTCATCCCGGCACCGCTGTGTTGAATATGCTGTCTGGTTTGGGTAGGCGGCTAGCTCGACAGATGCGAGGGCCAGCCATTCTGCAATTCCGCAACCTGTACACAGTCCCAAACCGGGCCAATTTGGTGTCAATTAATCCTCCTGATCCAAGCGACAAATATTATGTGGTTTTACTAACGTGCATCGCATTTATCGCTGAGAGGTCGGGCTGTCTTCCGTCCCTGTATGCATTCCTTTCCAGACCTAGAGAATGGCGAGGTTGACCGCCTAGCGCGCCCTCCACCCCCGCGCTTCCCCTAGGTTCTGCGCAACATTCGTGGTCTAAAATGCCTGCAAATACCATCAATCGATTGCTCGGACCCCAGCGACAAAGATTCCACCGTTGAACATTTGATACAAGGACTCTGTGGTTGGGAAATCAATTGTTTTGTTGTGGCAGGCTGGTTATGTGCTGGGATTTAGTGAGGGGTTGCTGCATACCAGCGTCACAGCCAGTTGGTTTGGCTAAGGTATAACTTGGGCATCCAGCATTCCCGGAGATTGGAGAACAGGAGTTGTATCAATCGATTGCGCTGACTCGAGCGACAACGATTCTTCAAAGTTTAACTAGGGTGCAGCAGTTTTGTGGTGGGAGACAAGGACTCTGTGGTTGGGAAATCAATTGTTTTATGTCGCTGGATGTCGATTCTGTGCTGGGATTTAGTGGGTTTGCTGCCATGCCTGAGGCACAACTTGGGCATCCCTGGAGCTCGGAGAACAAGAGTTGTATCAATCAATTGCGCCGACTCAAGCGACAACGATTATTCAATTTTTACTGGGGCGCAGCAGATGTGTGGTGGGAGATGAATGTTTTTGTCGAGGCAGGTCGCCCATGCACTGGATTTAGTGGACGGTTTGGGCCATGCTGCTGTACTGATCAGAACCGAGTCAGTGGGTTGGCTGAGGCACAATTTTGGAATCCGAGGAGCTTGGAGAATAAGAGTGGTATCATTCAATTGCGCTGGGTTGAGCGACAATTATTCTCTAACTTTTATTTTGGCGAAGCTACTCTGTAGTCGGGAAACCGATTGGTTTTCGGTCAAGCGCGCACTAACTTGGGGCGGTCCCTCCAACACGATTCTGTCGGCTGGGGCAAAATATAGGTTTCACCGGAGGAGGCGCGAGGTAGAAAATAGTATCATTCAATTGCCCTCAATTGAGCGACAAATATTTATAAGGTTTGCATTGCAGGCACCGTCTTGTTGTCGAGAAATCTGGTTGTTTTCCGGAATGTCTACGGCAAGTGCACTGAAGATTTAGCGGGGTTGGTGTCGCATAGTGGTTTTATAGCGATGTTTTGGACCGATCTCGCCTACGAGAATACGGTCACCTACTTCCCAGTGAGTCTGGTCAAACGCGCATCGGTTGAAAACAGACCAAATGAGTATCAATCAATTACTCTGACCCGAGCGACAAAAGTTCCTCGACTTGCTTACGCTGCCGTGATCCAGTGCCTTTCAACCCTCAGAGCAAGCTGAACCAGTCAAGCAACTAACGCACAATACGTTCATTGACCTGCAAGTTCAACAAGCTGGAAGTCCTAATCACTATCCGCCTGCAATGTTATCTCTCCTCGCCACTCTAGCTATGCGATCCTAATTAGGTGAAGATCACATATCGTGGCTTGGGAACAACAGTCTCGACCTCTAGTCTGTGGCTTGAAACACACCAACTTGAAAAGGTCATCTGGAGCTGGACGGGGGAAAATAGAGCCCTCTAAAAAAGGGGGGGTTGGGGGTGCGCTGTTGGCGTAACACAAGGATTGGTCATATCACATCATTGGACAGCAGAGGACAGAGGCGCAGGCAACTGTCCCAAAACGGACATGTACTTTTGCACACAAGTGCATTCGAATGGATTGTACTTTTGCGCACAACAACTCCTTTCTCTTAATAAAAAAGCCAAAAGCTCACGCCGACTCCAGTTCATTCGTTCTCTCAATTTCACCCAATTCTGCTTTGCCTTGACAACTTGACATACGATGATGAAAACATAACCAGCTACATTCGTTCTGAGCATGGCTGAGCATATCACGCAGTTGCTCATAGACCTGGATCAGCAATATGACTTCGATCCATTGCTGCCTCCCGAGTTGCCTACCATTGCCTTCCAAGACTGGCCGCCTCCTGATCAGCAACTTCAGTATGGGCAATGGGAGGAAGAGATAGCCATTGATGGTGCAGAAGATACCACGACCGCCCCACTCGGCAATTTCCTCGCCAACGCCCCAATTCCAGCGGAACGACCGAAGACACCGGCGTTCAGATTTTTGGAGACTGATCCAGTTGCAAACATAACACCCGGTATGCAAAAAAAGCAAAGGGCACCTGCAAAGACCGAGCAGGAATGGGCACTGGTGAGGCAACGCATCACAGAGCTCTACAAAACAAAGCCACTATCAGTTGTCATGGACGACGTGAAAGAAAAATTTCAATTCGAAGCCACGTATGTTATACCGCGAACAGATTGGCAAAGCTTGAGAATCTCCTTGCTGACACTGTACAGAGTGCGACAGTTCAAGTCGCAGATCCGCAAATGGGGCTTGAACAAGAACGTTCGAGAGCCCGAGATGGGATTCATCGTTCGCAAGCAACAAGAGAGGGAGAAAGGACAGTCGGCTGAACTCAGCCAAGCCAACCTGAGGTTCAGAGTTCGAGGGGAGGCCGTACCCCAAGCCAAGATAGATCGGTGGAAGCGAAGCCACAACGTGGCCGACCATGCAAGTCCTCAGTTTGAAAGTAAGACATTGGTAGTCTTTGAGATATTACGTTGCTGACTGTTCTAGGCACCCCGTCCGACGTCAGTTACAGCACTGTTTCGCCGCGACTCTCCCCTGAGCGGTTGTCCTCGGAGGTCGATCCTAGTCTACCTACGACGCAGAGGACTGCTTATAGATGTACCGATTGCCTTAGGGTGGGAAGGCTAGACCTTGCTGCCATACTAACTCGGTATCGAGATTGTCTAGATTGTGGAGACAAGACGACAGCGGAAGCCATCTTCGGGGATATCATAGAAGCTCTTCAGAGGGACATTCATCCCCTCGACTACTCACTCGTGCAGGGAGTCTTTGGGGGCAAGGGCCGATCATGCGACGAGATAGACTCCAGATTCGAGAAGATCATTTCACTGCGTGAGGAGCAGTTTGGCGACAACCACCACCTCACCCACCAGGCAAGGTTAGCTTTCGTCGACATAATTCTTGGCATGCTCAGGGAGCAGATCGAGAAGCCAGATCAGGACCGCAAAACCATGGCGCGGAGATTGGAGGTCTCACGATGCCATTTGCATCGAATCTTGAGAACGGCACTTTCCGAAGAAGTTGTGTTGCAGCTTTTCCGAGTGGTTTGCCAACTCTTCGGCCCCCTTACTGGCGAGCATGACCTAACGGAACCTGACGAAGACCTAACGGAACCTGACGAAGACCTAACGGAACCTGACGAAGACCCGTGGTACGACTACAGTTTCGTAGAGACCATTGTTGCCGCTTGTTCGCGGAACCCCGATGTGCAACAGGCGTTCGTTTACTCTTGTCTCTATGGGTGGTCAGTCTTCACTTGGGACATCGACGCTATTGTGCAGCAACTTGTCAGAGAAGGTCATGCGATTGGCCAAATAGTGAGTGATTATAACAGCATCTTGTCAGGGTGTTATATGCTGATTCTTCTTGTAGGGCGAGGATGGTAAATTATATTACTGCAGCCCTAAGGCCTTGGAGGAGTCTTGTCCGGGCGGGAGGAGGCCGTCTTTACCCATCATGGATTAACTCGCAGTCACCTTTTGAGCATATGCAACTGTCTTTTATTTAGATTTCAGTATCTCCACGTTCGACTTGGGACCCTAATAGGTGGTGTTGGAGGTGGCGTCCTGATGCTTCGTGTCGGAATGTTGTTGGGAACAAGTGGTTCACAGTGGTTCACATGCCATGTGCATATCATACGCACCTAACCTATCCCTCCCTCGACTTTCTCAAATTCTACCCTTTCTCCACTCAATCCATCGTCTTCAAATGTTCAAGTGGCTCAATATCAGTCAAACCATCCATCGGCGATCCTGACATGTTGCTAATTCTTCGGTGCTTATGTTCGGTGCGTCGTGCGGTTGCTAAGGTCTCCACGGTCCTTCCGCTCCATCCCTTTTCCTAGTAGCTGCGAGGGCGGCGGGTCAAGCATGAGCCACAAGTTAATTATTGTCTAAGTTGACTGAGCTTGAGGATCAACCCAAGTCTCTGAATTCAATCTCATCTGTCCAAGTTCAATCCCAGTAGAAGTTTGATCTGAAGCTTATGTTTCCACGCGAGGTGGCGGCCTGTGTGTTTAGTCCTGTAGCACCGGTCAAACCGCTCAATGTGCTCCAGCTCCCCTTAATTATCGCAATGATTCGGCACGCCGAGACCAACGTCTACGAAATGCAATGTCCAGCCCATGCGCTGGCGAGCTGCGATCCTTGTAGTGAAAAAGAAGCAGAAGCATGACAATTCTGTAGATGACGCCGACGCTTGGCTAGCGTTGAGGCCACAACACAAACTGGTCAAGAATATCAATGCTCGGCGCTGGTCCTTAGCGTCGTCGGTTCCGCTCGAGGGCATGGCCCTCGACCTGGGTATCTAGGATGTTGTTAATCGGTGCGGGCAAGAGCTGAAACACATCCGGATCTCCGAGGCCAGCAGGGCAGAGTAGAAGGACAGAGCGGTGGGGGATGAGGGCTGCGGGGGCCAAAAGCTACGAGTCGGGGCGGGTGTGGTTGGCTGTGCTCCGGTCCGCCGAGCCAGCACTAGGCTCCATTGCAGCCGGGACATGTTAGATAAGGGTAATTATCCTTCTCGTCCCTAAACAGCTCAGCCTGCGTCCACCTCGACTCCCTCCACGCCGGCCCCTTTTTTGACAAGAAGGATCCCGACTAACAGCTCGACAACACCTACATCCTACATAACAGACAACGGCAATGCGATAGATTTCAGGTCTAACAAGTTGAAGTCGTGGGAAGGTCGGTAACAACCTAGGGCATGGTAAAAAGCACACGGGTCTTTTGCCTGCTCCTTTTCGGTGGACACGGTGCTGTTCTCGGACACGTCGTCGGTGCGGGCCCCTCAAGAGGGTCGGGATGATGTCCGAAATGCAGTGAGAGTTGGTTTTTCTGGTCTCGGGCTGGGTTACGAGGGGGTTACCGCTGCGCATCCGTGCCGGAGCTGGTGGTGGAGTTTCTGGTAGCTAAGTAGACTGGAAGACAACTGCCGTCGAGAACTTCGGAATGGGAAACGACACCGTAATGGAGGCAACCTTTGTATGTTGCCCGAGGAACACCGGTCAAGGGTCGAATTCCCGGCGCACCGTCTTGACGATTGTCCTGACCATCAAGGGTATCCTTAGTCCTGTCCCCCCGCCTGTGTAGACCCTAACACACGGAAGACCGGTCCCTGGTAACGCATCGTAACTCCACCCCCGTTCACGTGCATCCCGTTCTAATCAAAGGCCAGATCCAGGGGATTTGGCAGAACCACAATCTCGCGGGGCGCGTACTCGCGGACACCGAGGGGCGGTTCCGGTACGCCAGCGCCCGGAGCTCCGGCCTGGGTACTTGCGCCGGGACAGCAACTCTTTAGAGTGCACACTCTCCGAACTATCCCACCACCTCACCACCGCAAGATTCTCCACATATTTACACCACGCCCAAGCCATCAACGGACGGGTTCGGGCTCGGGGAACCGGGGGGGGGGACAGGAGACTTGGATATGCCAAAAAGGCCCCCGCGGCTGGCCCATGGCCAGAGCGAATGTGCATGTGAGCAATTCGTACGGGATGGCCGTGTTCCTTCCCGCGGGAGTTGATGACAACCTGGGCCCCGGGCCACGGCCCGGGTTCGGTACGGCTGAGACGAGCAGCCTCCTCTGGTCGATTTGTCGTGGAGTTTCCAAAGGGGAAGGCCATTGGTTCGCCCCGACTTGACGATCCTTAGCCTCTTAGCCTTAGCAAATATGTACCTCTTATGCTTTGCGTCTGCCTACCGTCCTCGTCCCCGCCCGCCACCTTGACGAGGCCTTTGGTCCTCACGGCCGCGTTCTCCGTCTCCCGACCACCCGCCCCAGCCTCGGCACGTGCCCACGCCTATGTTTCCCCCGAGGGCGGCAAAGGCAACCGGAAGAACATCCTGGGCACCCTCTAGAGGCGTGCTGACCTGAGATCCACAACCCAGGTTTCTGCTCCACGTAACCCCTTCAGACACCCATCGGCTCACAAGACACTGGGACGTTTATTATAGTCCCGTGACTATTTCATATAGGAGAGTTGCGTCCCTCAAGGCAGCTAATCTCCTGCTCGACTGGTTGGGCATCGTTTTAAGACGTCACAAGTTCCAAGCTCTGCCTATCTCCGAATGAACCGGCAGCATGCCAGACACCCATCCTGAATTGTGGAAGGCATCGTTGGGGCTAGGGCAGTAGTAGGTGGGAGGCGATCGACTGGGGGGATATCCCTTTCGTCTGTCTATCTTGGACCAACCATGAGGCTGAGGGTCTTGGAGCGGACCTCCTTTCCTTGGTGCGGAGGCAGTTCCCGACGATCTCGACGGATCTCCACGCTTTCCTAAGCCTCAAGATAACGGGGGCGACGGCGAGGGAGGGGTCGAGGGAGGTAGGTATCAGAAAACAAACCGGCGGCACACTTTTATCCCGCGCATCTCGCAGAACAAGCGCACCAGCATGGCCACGATATCATCTTCCACTCTGTCCACAAGGGCGTTCTTGCCTCTATCGCAACATGGCTAGGTGAGGTGGAACCATCAGCTAGCTAAACGGCCCGGAATCGTGACATGTGATGAAAATGGGAAGCTCAAGCCGCGGCGGCACGCACGGCGTTGATGATGTGCGAATTCATCCCGCCCTTGTCATCGTCGGCGCACATGCGGCCCTCTAGCCAGTCTCTCCGTATCACGAGGCACCCCATTGTCCGCTATCTGCGCCACATTTGTCGTCCCTGGGCGTGAGTTGCCCCCGTACCTCCCCTCGAGACGGCTTCCTGGTGGAATCATCGCCTGCGCGATGCCCGAGTGTCGATGGGGTTGGAAATAACGCGATTCCACTATGAACGACACCACGAGGATCGGTCTTGTTTCTTGATATGGCATCTTTCATCTATAACTCTCCCAGGGTCCCAGTCCGAGACATCGCAGATGAAGCCCGGATTTTTCGTCGGGCTGAAGACGGCTTCCTTGATGGAGTGCTGCACACGGCGGTGGCGGATGAGGTGCCGATTGGCATTACATGAGGGAACCTCCTCGAACGGGGCGCTGGTGATTCGTGGCCGGAGAAGGTGAAGAACACGACGATGCGTTGCGCTGAGAAGGGTGGGATGGCCCCGATCCTGCGTCCCGTGATTCGCCACCACTGCCCCTGGATAGGCAATTGCGTCTGGGCAACCCTTCATATGTCCAAGTATGGTAGGGGTTTATAACGAGCCTGCCTGCCTAGGTCAACCGTAGAGCATCCGCATTTTGGATGCCTTTTCTTCGAGTTCCTAACCGGCATGCCACTATTCTCCCAGGCCGGAGCTGAAGATCTCGAGGACGAGGATCTTGACAAACCTCGGTGCTTCGACCTCGGATCGATACGGATGCTTGGGTGGGCTTGCTATCCTATCGACTGGTCCTGGTGCTCCTGAATAGCAGCGGGATTCTTTTCCGCCTCCCAGCCGAGGGATTTACATTCTAGATATCAAGTAATCAGCAGCAATATCGGAGGAAAAAGGGAAGAACAGTTAACAAAACGAAACATCGATTACATATTGCAATATGATGCATGCATGGACTTAATCAACTTTGATATCGTTTCGATTATCGAAGATCCTCGGATCCGAAAGGTCCCATCGGAGAACCAGGCAGGCTTACCACCATGGTGCAATACACAACCTCTGGTCTATTCAAGTGAACTCGACTCGGCCTTTGGGATTTCTCGTGACATAGCATAGCTGCTGGTGACGGTGGTCCATGGCTGGGAGCTTCTTCGTCGGGTCGAGGAAGCGGAGCAAGGGGGATGAGGCGATCACCATTTCATGCCCCTCTTCTGGCAATTCATCTTCTTGGGCAGTTTCACATAACAACGGCGTGCAGCGATGACGAGAGCTAATCCAAGGTTTCTGTTAACGATCTTGGGTTGGGCGCGTGCGGCTGTACGGCGCGGTGTGCGTCCCAATCGCCGGCAGGAGCGAGGCCCCCAGCGAAGTCAAGGGACACGACCCCGTCAGCGACGACAGCTTCACGTGGGATGTGTTTCGTCGCACTAGAGAGCCAGAGGTTAGGAAGTGTGACCAGATATATATGGCGATGGGGCGGGCTGGTCAAAACAAAAGACGACAAGTGTAGAGTGTGCAATAAGGAAGGAATGAGCAAAAAGATGCAAAGGCTGGGGCAAGGAGGAGCGGCACCTTGACGAGACTGACCTGCGCCGAGACAAAGCTATTAATAATCCTAATAGCAAATTCTTTTGCTAGTAAATAATTTTGCTAACAAATTCTTTTGCTACAAAATAATTGTGCTAACAAAATCTGCTCTTAAATTATTTTGCTACTAAATGATTTTGCTATTAAATGATTTTGCCACTAAATCTTTTTGCTATTAAATTATTTTGCTAGCAAATACAATTGCTTTTAATAAACGTTTTCTTTGATATATTTTTCTTTAATAATCCTTTTCTTTAATAACTTTTAAATATAATAACTTTTAAATATAATAACTTTCAAATATAATAACTTT